CTCCATGCTATTTGAGATGTTTCTGTATGGAATTTGCATGTTCTCCTTGTGCCAGTGTAGGTTATTTCCGGGTACTCTGGCTTCCTCCCACATTCCAAAGACATGACTATTAGGTTACTTGGCTTCTCTAAAATTTCCTTAGGTGTGAGTGTGTGCTTCAATGGTTATTTTCCTATTTGTCTCTGTTTTGCCCTGCAGTAGACTGGCAACCTGTCCAGGTTGTACCCCGCCTCTCGCCCATTGACAGCTTATCCCCAACAGGTATAAGTGTGGCGAAAAATGGATCGATTGAAACCTCTAGGCAACACCAGGTGAGGAATGGCAGATAAACTCCTCTTTGACAAGTGCTGTGGTTAGTCTAAAATTGAATATGCTTTAATCAAACTGACCCAATGACCTCAGAGTGTCACAAGGTGGGGGACACTTCATGGCTTGGGAAATATTTTCTTCAGCATAGACAGTAAATCTGTGCAATGTTAATTGACAGATAGTGGTTCTCACCACAACATTTAATGAGTCGTTATGGTATTGGTATAATTCCATTGTTATTCTAAAAGATGTACCCTAACCAGCATCTGTGCTGAAATGCGCTGGATAGGAAGTCCAGATCATAGTCAAAGGGCTGTTATACCAGTAAAAAGTGCATTTCTGCCTAATTTTCAGCGTTACTGTGACTTTTTTGAGTTTAAAACCCTGTTACGCTGAAATACGCCGGTGAGAACCCTGCAAATTGATAAAGCAAGAGACAGACATGACTTTGAAGTGGGGCAGTGGTTAAAGTATGCAGAGATTCTCCATTGAATCATACTGAGCTTTTGAGTCTTCAAAAAAATATCATCTTCTAGGTTTGCTGGTAGAGAGTTACTCTGAAGGAATTGCTGGTGTAATTGCAATGAAAGGTGGTTCACAAAAGTATTGACCCAGGGGACTCAGTACAAGTGCTCAGCAAACCAAGGTTGAGGTTGTAATGTGACAAAATGGAGAAAAGTTGAAGTGGTATGATAAAGGCTAGAAAAGTGCATTAGGAGTAAAAGACAGACTTTTTCCTTCCCTTAGGCCTTGAGGAGGGAATGTGGGGTAGAGGGGGCAGCAAGCAGCACCTGTCAGATGACACTTTGCAGCTGATGGTGCAGAAGGAGCGCTAAGTCGACTGCTTATCTATGACGCCACAACCTGCCGGGTGCAGCCAGTCTCCAGAGGGAAAGCACAAGAAACCTTAGCTCTGACGCTCTCCAGGGCAGAAGTTCTGTTAATGTCTCCCCAAACAGAATAAAACACACTGATCTGCTCTAAATACATTTCATTATGATCATCATGATTATATCACTAATTGCGTGTACTCTGTAATGTACTGCAGCAGTTTCCTCCTGGGAAGACTGAATGATTAAAACATGCACAGTGAACCATGCATCACAATGTCCCTGCGGGCTTCCTCGTAAGATACATGCAAGCGGCTGCCCTGACACTCTGAGCTAGCAGGCAGCAGAGGATGCAGTCTGCAGAGGGTTTAAAGGCTGAGGAGGAACCTGCAGGCAATAACAAGACAGCAGCTGGACTTCAGAGGTGCAGAGGATTGACCCGAGCTGATCCCATCCATATCCATAAACCCACACTACATAACCTATATACCTTCAGACACGAGTCCAGGGCAGCCTAAATAATTCCTCCAGCACACAGGGCTGAGGTTCAAATCCAGCTTCTTCAACCTGCTCCAAGAAGTGCTTCCATCTTCATGTGAGGCTGACAGCAGAGGATAAAGTTTTTGTGACAGCATTTGATGAATGTTTAATCCGACATTCATACTTCCCAGGCTGGGACTGGGTCCCAAGTCAAAACCCACTACAGACACACAGCAGGTGTGTAAAATATTCATCCACTACACGCTTCATTAAGAATGAAACACACCGTGGTTACCCATTCATTTATTTATTCCGATTATCGAAACAAAAGACAGAAAAATGAGGGATTAAAACATGGTGGGAGCGCAATTCAGTGTTTGCCTCACAGATTTGTAGCGATTTGTTTTGTGACAAATAACTCTGCCTGTTGAAAGCTTGCTGTCGTCTTGCTGAGAGTCAGGCAGCTACAGTACTGTGAGAGGAGCTTTCATGTGAGGGGGGCTTTTGACAAATCACTGCCTGCTTGAGACTCTCCAGCTCTGCATCCAATGCAGCGGCTTGACCTCTGACCCACCCAGAGGCGTCTGCTGACTGGTCCCACAAAGCAAGCTGATGTATGGCTCAGCCAGCAACAGAGAAGTAGATCGTTTTTTACTAATTAATGACATTTAATGATCTCTCCTGGTGAGAAGGGGCTGAGCTCGGACAAATGAAATGACTGATGTCACGGCTGTCAGAGAACGGACCAGGGAACGCGTCGCCGCAGAGTGACAGGACTGCTTCAGCGTGCATCCTCAATAATACTGAGTTTATGTGTCACACTGATGACATAATTTCCCAGTGGAGATCATTAAAGTTTCATCTGTTCTAATCTAATTACAGTAAAGATATTCTCATCTTAACACACAACCTTCATGAGAGCTTTCAGAGGATAACTGAATGACATAAATAAGATTGGTTTCCTCTTAGAGAAATAAAAATACCATGTCAAAACACTGCCTTTCTATAAGGTTTACAAGTTAGTTTACTATGGAAAAGCATTTGAAAGGTTAGACACTGATGTTGGAGCAGAAAGCATGGCTCACATTCTTCACTCATTCTTTACTGCACGATTGAACAGTGCTTAGCACTGTCGCCTTGCAGCCAGAAGGTTCTTTGTTTGATTCCTGGACCGTTGTCTTTCTGCATGGAGTTTGCATGTTCTCCCTGTGCATGCGTTGATTCACTCCGGGTACTCCGGGTTCCTCCCTCAGTGACTGTTAGGTTAATTGGCTTCTCTTAATTGTCCTTAGGTGTGAGTGTGTCTTAGTGTGTCTCTGTGTTGCCCTGCAACAGACTGGCGACCGTGCCTCTCGCCATAGACTGCCAGAGAGAGGCACCGGCCCCACCGTGATCCTGACAAGGACTAAGCGTGAGGAGATGGGTGGATGGATGGTTTTCTTTTGAGTTGTGGTAAGAATTTCTTTGCAGGTATGAAGTCAGAATTCTGCTCAAAAATGAAAAACATGTAATGAATAATAATATGAACATTTTTAAAATTTCAATGAAAAATGGCCAATAATTGGAAGTCTACTTTTTCATGTTGGTTCTACTTTTAAATTGACAAAAGATGACTGCAAAGCATTAGGACCACACAAGATTCAGTAAAGAAGATTACTTATTTATATTGTAGCTTAATTGGAATGCAACAATATAATTGAAATAAGAGTCCAATTTCAGTCCAGAAAAGATGGGAGACTGGTTAACTTAATGTTTAAAGTCGTAGGGAAATCATATTCAAATGTCAACTTATTCTGGCTTAAACATGTATATAAATGTACTCTTTATCAGACGGTATTGTCCAAAAATTTAGAAAATTTGAAATCTATTTGAAAAAAAAAAAATCCTGTCTTAAAATCTGTGGGTTTTTTTTTGTTTTTTTGTTTTATCTTATGCAGGCCAGTTAGTCATACATAAGCCTGGATGGACGTCTGTGTTTTCGGCAGGCGTCGAGCTAACAGAACTGGCAGCGTTGCAAGGCAAGGGCTCAAACATGTACGGCTGTAAGCCTTCTACACCAAACCAAGCTTCTGCCACCCTGGCGTCCTCTTCGAGCATCGTCGTCCCCACTTTCCTCATCTGAATAAAAAATGTATGATGGAGGAGACTCATCCATGAACTCTGACACAAAACTTTCCTCCTCTTGCATGTTTCCGCTGTCCATTGTGTTCCTTGACTGTGTCGTTTCTAAGTCACAAATTTAGCACTACTTGGTCCCCATGTAATATCCAATTGGGAACCTACTAGCACTAAGTTGCTAACTGGTTAGCACGATGTTTCTGAGAAACCGGCTACAATCAAACGTTCTTGCGAACCTTCTGCCACAACAATCCCGCCCCCTTCATAATTGACCAATCACATTCACTTTATTCAGTAGTGTGAAGTCGTGCACCAGCTGGGAAAATTCGGAAATACAACCGTTGGAACAGTCGTTTCCCTACGACTTTAATAGAAAGTACAGGAATTATCCAAAACCTATTTATATTTGTTAACATACTGATTTGTTGGATATTCCTGATGAATTATGTAAAATGCACTTCCTCTACCATATTGGTCACCAAATATTTGTTAGCTTCTAGGAGGATTACCAAATAACATCCATAAATTTACTGTTCCAGAAAAATTCATGACATGGAGTTGCAGGAGAATATGTATTAGATCTAAGATGCTGCTGCACATTTATTAACCAATATATTGTCACCATTTATAAATATATTATTTTACTGTAGACCTTCTGTATTTGGTTGATTTACATTTTGTAACCTGTAGGAGTTGCATCAAGAACTGTTCTATATTCTCTCACTTATAATGTGAAATTAAAAGAAAAAATTCTGCATATGTAAAATTACGATTTCTGTGCATTAGTTGGGATATATCAATAATAATATTTTGGATCCAATTCTCATAGAATATTGTGATTCGTGTTCATCATTTACCATTTGTTATTCCAGATCATAGATTTTTATGGGGAAGAGAGTTTGTAAATAAGAAGCCAACTGGATAAAGATGCTGTGAATACTGGATAATTATATGGATATTAATAGAAAGTTTGTCGACATCAAAATCACATTTATAAAAATATTAAATTCCTCCAACGCCTTAGAAAGCTTAAATTAATTTTCTATTTCAGGACATTTCAGTGTAGAGGAATAAATCAAAATGTCATGATTTTCAAAATGAACCAAATTAGCTTAAAATGTATCAATCAATATGTAATTAATTTATATAATATATAATTAAGTTTTTGAAATGTATAAATCAGTTATTTTGCCTATTTGATTTTTTTAAATGAACTAGTTTCCTTTCCCCCGCCCTTTCATAATGACGTCACTTCCTCTTCCTGGTGAAGATGGCGGCCGCCGCTGCGGCTGATTCTGTTCCCCGTGAGCCTGGAAAAGTTGTGATAAAGACGGAGCCTGAAGATGGGGACGGTTTCCTCCCCACTCCGCGGGACGTCCCGGTTAAACGTGACCCCGTGGTGTCGCTGCTGTCCCCGGTGAGCGGAGTGCAGCCTCTCAGCTGGTCTCCGGACCACCGCCTCGCTGTGTGCACCTCCAGCTCCCTGTCTGTGATGGAGCTGATCTGTGATGTCCACAATGGCAAGCAGGACCTGAACTTCTACAGGACCTCCATCCCTGTCCCCACTGACATACACAGACTGCAGGTATAAAAAAAAAAAAAAAAAAAAAAAAAGCTCAGATTTTGTTGATTTTATGCAGTTTAATCAGGAAGCTTTATCATCCTAGTGAAACTAAACCTCTGCAGCAAGAAACAGAAATATACAGCCTCTGGAATCACTAGGGCAACAAAGTCTATCCCACAGGTTAGCTTTGGTAGTTTTTTCTTCTTTTTATTCATTGCACTTGTTTTATTTCCAGTAAATATTGTATAAAGGCAGCACCAAACTGGCGTTGGTTGACTGATTGACTGATTAATTGAGAAATAGTCAACTGATTAATTGATTCGTAAAATAACCGGTAGTTGCAGCCCTTATATATATATTTATATATATATATATGGACCAGGCATTCGCATTCGAGCGACCAAACCCCCTACCCGGTGATGGTATGTTTCCCCCCGCCTGCCTATAATAGTAGAACCATTTGATATAAATTTGAATTCAGTGGGTCACATGACCTGGAAGCTATTGAGGAAATATTAATTACTTTTGTAATAATAAATGTTTAAAAATATACAAAGGCTTAAAGTTGAATAAAAATGAGTGTATCTCATCAGGCTAATGTAGTAAAACAATTTCACAAACAATTTGAGTCAGTAGGTCACATGACATGGAAGCTATTGAAGAAAAGTCCCAACTTTTGTCTTTAAAAATATCTTGAAAATTGAAAATAGCTTAAAATTGCATAAAAGCAAGTGTTGCAAGTGATTTTATATTAGTTTCGTCTTAGCTGGTCATAAGATAAGTAATTTATTCATTTTTTGTTTCTTAAGAGTGCTTTTTTCAAAGATTTATTGACAGTCCTTAAATGCACCACCGCGTGTGGGAGGAGGGAGCAGCTACATAAAATAGTTTACTGTATATTTGCGTTTAGGCTTCTATATTTTGTCTTATTTGTGTTTTTCTGATCTTAAGGTTGGCCCATCAGATGAACTGATGCCTGCATTGGAGAAGTTCTCGTTGGATCCAGATCCCACCATAAAGCAGGCTTTTCTGGCCAACACTGTAATCAACCCTAATGTAGGGGAACACAAAGGGGTAAAGTATGCCAGCTGGTCCCCGTTAGGCTGTGACTCAATTGGACGGTGTCTGCTCGCTTACCTGACCCTCGATAACCGGCTCACCGTTCACAGCAGCCACCGGCACCTCAGCTGGAACACGCTGACCAATCTAACGGAGAAGTACAGCGAGAGGCTCCGCGAACGCGGCTACGCAACAAAGGACAACAAGCCCCCCGAAGCTAACCTGTTAGACTTCTCTGAGCTCCAGCGGCGGTTCCAAATGCAGACCCCTCTCAGGATGGAGTGGTCCAGCATTTACACCATCAAAAAGGTCCTGGCAGACAACAGCTGTGTGGAGGAGCAGATGGTGCTCCTAGCAGTCCTGATGGAAAACGGAGACCTTGTTTTGTGGAAGTTCATGCTGCCGTTCGCAAAAGGAGACGATGTAGTTTTCTATGACCTGATTGAATCTGGGGTTAGCAGGCCCAGTGACCTGGCATGGTGGGAGTATGAGAACGGGGGTCAACGGATGGGGGGCTTAATCGTCGGCAGCGAGGCTGGACCCATCAAAATTATGCCTGTCAGCCTGTCGAAGGTCAAGGGCTACTTCACGATCCGGCACCCCATCATCCTGTGGAAGGAATGTGATGAGATCCCAGTGGAGAACCTCAGGTGCTTCCCGCTGTTCCACCGGATCCAAAAAAGCAGCTGCAGCCTCATCGTCGCCTCACGGGGATGCTACCTCTTTTGGTGTCTGCTGACTATATCAGCGAAAGGACTAAGTGTGCACAATTCCCACATTACGGGACTCCACTCGCTCCCTTTGGTCTCCTTAGTGGTCATTCAGCACCCAGTTGAGGTCTACACGTGCTCCATAGACGGCTGGATAAAAAAACTGGTGCCGACATTCACAGAGAACTCTTTGGTTTTCAAAGTGGAGGACTTGTTTCAACCAGAGGCCCTCACACATAAATGGATACATGGGATGGCCGTGAGCCACAATGGGGCGTATGTCGCTCTGGTCACAACGCAGGGGATTGTCGATGGCTTTCATCCCGTTACCAGGAATCACCAGGTCCACTTCCTGGCTCTCAAATCTCCTGAAACGGCCATATCGCTCCTGCTAAAATCCCCCGAGCAGAATTTGTACAATTTGGCGGACTTGCTGGACCTGGTGAGATGGCAGGTTTTCAAAACCAAGCGCATCCCCGCGTGGCTCCAGGACGAGCTCGACCGTAAAATCCAGGAAGCCGACTCCCCATTCTGGTGGCGCATCAAGCTCTTTGTGGCGCGAGTTGTTCGCCTGTCGCTGCAGCCCCCCCGCACAGAAATCAATTGGAAACCCAAGCGAACAGAGACCAAAGTGTTTTTACAGGATGAGGAGATGGACGAGGCGGATGTTGGAATGGATAACGATGCGGCCCAGTGGACGGAAGGGGAATCTGATTTGGAGAAGCAAGAGGCCCGCAGGACTGAAGCGCAGAAGCTGATCGATGCTGCAGAGACGCATCTGATGAGGGAAAATATGAAGAAGGTGTTGGGGGTGGTCTACCTCAATACTTGGATGCCAGAGAACTTCTGTATCCCCACATGTGGCCTGATGGATTATCTTTCCAGAGATCCTGGAGACAAAGATTCAGAGGTACCGACACAAGCTCTTAATAATAATAATAATAATGAATTTTATTTATAACGCACTTTACATTTGACATCAAATCAAGTGCTACAAAGTGCTACATTTAAAAAAAGGGAAAATTAAAACAAGTTTAAAAGACCATAACATTAAAAACAGTGTAAAAAGACAATCATTAAAATCAATACATTAAAAGGCATACGTAGCCTATTAAAAAAATGAAAATCAACAATTGTAGGTATTTCTAAAAAGGAAAGTTTTCAATCCTTTCTTAAAACAATCCACCGTCTGTGGGGCCCTAAGGTGGTCTGGGAGGGCATTCCACAGACGGGGAGCTGCGGCTTCGAAGGCCCTGTCGCCCATTGTCTTAGCTCTCAGCTCTTTGTCTTACAGCAACACTGTGACCGTTATGACCAAAGTATTTCCTTCAATTAGGGATGAGAAATCTGGCATTAAAACATTAATATCTAATTATTATTTTTTTCCCTACAAATCAGATGAAATAATATTTTTTTATTTTATTTTGTCATTTTGTCTAAGTTAAGTTTGATAATAAACATGACAAATTCCATGAATTACTTCTAAAACCAGGCTTTTATTTCAGTCATCCATTCTGGGATTTGACTTTACAGGCAGAACGTGCAAACACCATTCACTGAACTAACAAAGCCATAAATGCAAGTTTTCCAAAAAATGAATTTTTTTTTTAAACAGAAAAGTCCATTAATCACCCAGCCTGAGCTGCACAGTTAATTTAATTTGATATATATAATGAACAGCTTGTTTCAGGGTCAAAGTAGAAAACTTCATAAAGTCATTACTTATTATTGTCTTTTAAAACAAAACACAACGTGTACATATATTTTAGGATATTGGCAACTATTTTATTTTAGCTGATTGTATTTCTGAATTGTAATGTAGCTCCATAAGCACAGCTTAACAGACATTCAAAATTTTATATTTTTTCAATGAATCAACACCCCATACTTCAGCATGTTCAGGTGGAAATGGGACTCCGCTACCTGCAGGTTAGTAGCAGGCGAAAATGACTGAACTTTGGCTGTAAGAGAGAATAAGATCTGGAGCAGATAACAGGAAGGCGTTAATAGATTACTGCAAATTTACTCTTTAGACTGTTCGAATAAAATAAGATTTTAGTTACTGATACAGAATTAAATTCTGTGATAATTTTATAATGTTTTAGATAAAATAAATAACTACTGAATAAAAAAAAATGTTTTTTATGCTCGTCTTATTTCATTATAGTTCTTAGAAAATGATTATAATACCATAGAAATTAGTATCAACGGCTCAAAACTACAAAAATTGGAGACTAGAAATCCTGATCTCCCATCTTTTTAGATATAAAAAAAATACATTAAAATACATAAAAGTTTGGGGGTGTTTTAAACTCATTAAAAGGCACCCCCCTCTAAAGGAAACAAATGAATGCAAAGTTTTGCGTGTCACCACTATAAGAAACCTCTAATTCTGTGCTGCAGTAATTCTTTGACTAGTGGCCTTTATTCTGAGCTTCCGTCTCCATCTACCCCACCTTCAGGTTCTGATCGGTCACATAAGGAAGAAGCTGAACAAGCAGACGTTCCCGGAGCACTGCAGCCTGTGTCAAGCCACGCTGCCCTTCACCGACTACAAACAAGCCGTCTGTGAAAACGGACACGCGTGGCTCAGGTTTGAATAGCGCTCCTTAACCACTTCAGGAGAAAAGCGTTGGTTTGCTACTCCTCCTGGAGAGCTCAATTCTTTCTTTGAAAATTATAAATGTATTTATCCTCAGAGAGTAGTAATCAAGCCCACCCCCCCAACCCCACCTTTTGATATTTACCCAAGCATCACTCTCATCTCCTCATAAATATCATCCGTCAAACGTTCCTTCTGTTTGCTCTCCTGCTAGCACATTGCACCTCTGCTGGGCACAGATTTCCATTTCTTCGCCCGTCAGTTGCACGTCAGTGCTGCTTCCACCAAACTTTTGTGCCCCCCACCCCACCCCTGCCTCACAGTGTGTGTGTGTGTGTCTACAGGGTGTGTGCGCCTGTCCCTTCCCATCCAGCTTCCTCATGTATTTGTCGCGCTCTCCTCCAGGTGTGTGTTGTCATACCAGGCCTGCCAGACGCTGACGTTCAGACGGTGCCTCCTGCAGGATTGCATTGCCAGACTGCCAGAGCCTGAGGGTAAGCGCCACTTTCCATCCACCTCCTCCTCCGTTTCACAGCCATCCAGTCCTGTCACCCTCAGAGACAGCCTTGGCCTCGCTCTGCCGCTCAGATCCTCGCCTGGCATGATGGATTTCAACCCGCTTGAGGGGTTAATACCTAGGAGGATTTTAAAATTATAAACGTGACTTAGTTTGTTTCTCTTTCCCTTCGGTTTAAAAGCGGTTAAATTATTCTGCAGCCGCTCTCATCTTCCATATTAATTTTTTATAGGAATTTTGTAAATCTAGAGTTTAAAACCCATCCAGCACACAAATACACAACATTATTTGAGTTAATTTTTCTTTTTAATAACTAATAATGTATCATAGTCTTTTATTGTAGCAGGAGCATGTTTTATCGTAGAAAGATTAAATTGAATTTAGGTTGAGAAAAACTTGTTTTCACTCCTATGAATTAGTGTAACTGATCTATTTGTTTATCTACTTATAATTTAGTCTGTCTTTTTGATTATCAGTGCCCTTTTCTCTTGTTTTTTTTTTTTTTCATTTTACAGTTTAGCTAAGAAAACATGTTATTCATGTAAGGTAAAGGAGTCGATATTTACCAATCAGGGTTTGTCTATTAGAAAATAATGTCAAGTTCACAATTATAGCGACTCCTATTAAACTTATCTTTAAACTAAATCTGATAGAGTCTGGAGGGCGCTAAAGATTAGGGTGATGACAATGAGGTCTTCCAATCTTAAAGACTTGGAGCTCAGCACCAAAGATTAATTATCTGAATAAAGATGTGAAAGTTTGTTCAGCAATTAAAAGAAAGGTTGACCTGCTGCTATGATTAGAAAGATTGTTTGAATTATTATTTAAAAGAGTATAAATAACATTTTTAAGCAGATGTTGAGGGATCATCCTTTTATGGTGTTTAATTACATTTTAATTATCAGGGAAAAACATGGTAAAATGTAAATGTTTTCCATTTTAATCTGCCAGTGGTATGAAAACTTCAAATCACTCTCCTAAAGCCGCGCAGATACAGCTCACACTGTATGACCAAACCACAGGGTTTAAAAGTTCACAACTCGGGATGTATGTTCTCACACTCTCTGACCCGGCGCTCTGATGCGATCTACCTGCTCACACGGTACGTCTAAAAACCACGTCAGACTCAGCGCTGCCGTTAGATGGCGCTACTCTGACTCGTCTATTTGGAAGGATGTAAAAGAGGAAAAAGACTTAATTGTTAATGCCTCCTGTTAAATATGAGGCTCACTAGAGTGAAACGCGCTGCCTTGGCAATTTGTGCAAGTTTGTGCTGAAAGCCTAAAAAGACGAGGCGACGTATTTGGACAAAGACATGGCTAAGCAAACGTGGCTACTACGGTCTGTCAATTTTACAGAAAGAACTCCATTTCACTTGCACCCCCGCCATGTTTCTGTGTTTTCATCTGAGAGGAAGAAGAAGAAAAATCCTTGTTTGCACATAACCATTGAGCAATTTGCTCATGAACACCTTACAACAGCCGACTGACTTTGAAACATGTTTCAATTTCTCCCGACCTCACGATTCCTGATCGGGAGGTGGTCGTAAGCGGCTGATCGCCCCTCGTTACCCCCTGTATACTACACGACGCACGATCAGGCTGAAGGTCAGCCTGATCGAAAAATTCTCGCATGTCAGGAGAACACTAAACCAAAGTAACTCTTACTTCTATAGTGGTGCTATCATGGCTCCAGCAACTTTACCAGTTTGTATTTCTAGTTTCTGTACAGTGAAAATTAGAACTAAATATTTTTAGTTGGTCCAAAATTTTACTGCTTCTACTTTTTAAATCTTCTTGACGGAACCTTTGGCTATCCGATTATTAATCGAATAATCAACAGATTAATCGATTTGCAAAATAATCATTAGTTGCAGCTATAGTGTTGAATATCTAAATGCAACTTAATTTATCATGCTATGAATAATACAGGGTAGTTATGATAAAGAGTTTTGGAAGATAAAGTTGGAGAATCTGTGCTGTTATTTCTCATTGTGAAATATTTTTACAATAATTCCTGTGTTTCCCGCTCAGATCCAGACTGGATAAAGAAGCTGATGAAGGCGCCCTGCGTGCTCTGCGATTCACCGATGATCTAAGGACCAAACTACTGAGAAGCCTGCAACTGTCGCTGCAGCTCTCACAGCTCCACAATCCTGATTCAGAATCCAGTTTACTCAAATTTACCGCTGCTGAGTATATATTTTTGATATAGTATTTATTTTATTAGGTAATATTGTTATAATAAAAGGAGTAAATAAAAAGTCTTTATTACTTGTTGGTTTTCTTATTTATTTCGAAACCTGCAGAAAGAAAATGACTCTCTTGGCACTTTAAAGGGCTTTTTTATCTCTAACTTTATTATATTCCAAACTAAAACTTATTCTAATGCAGGCGCAGTGTTTGCACAAGAAAGTTTAAAATGCAGTTATATGTGGAAGTCATTATTATTCAGTTGGACTTCAGGGGCGCCATAAATAAGCTCCCTCATTTTCCTAATGTTGACTGTGTTTCAGAACCTTTGGTGTAGTTTTTATTGCAAGTTAGTGGAACTTGCTCTCTAAGTCCTATTTTAGTATTTCTTTTTTCTTTCTTTTTGTTTGAGCGTAACAAATAATACAGTGTGAATTATACATAGTGTGGAGAAAAGAAAAAAAAAAAACTGCATACCTTCTTTAATTGGCACTGTAAAACAATTTCCGAGCTCTGGATAGAGGAGGAGAAATGTTGGTGCTCAGTCATTCCCTCAGATGAGGACTTCCGCTAATGTAAACGCAGAAGAGGCGAAGCGGCGAGGCAGATGAAATGAGCAAGAAGGCAGGAAGAAAGGGGAAAGTGTGGTTAAAAACGCGGCGCGTCCTCTCCCACGGGGGCGGCTCCAGTAATGAGATTCAGCCGTAATGAGGGACAGAACATGGAGCCAGATGTGATTCTAATTCTAATCAACGAGGGGAGGCTGGTGCTGATGGAGGAGAGAGGGTGGTTACAGAGAATATTGTTAAATACAATTAACCCTTTATTCCTATTTGGAGGGAACAAGGGCTGTGGGGAAAGGGTTACAGGCTCAATGGCCTGTTTTCATGGAGGCCAGCAGCCGGTGATCAAAGAACCTGGACCTGAGAGACCGCGCTGGTGGCAGAGCATCCTCCGGGTCCGGGCAGAGGTGGGATGAGGTCAGCCTTCCCTCTGGTTTCACCAGAGACATGACAGACAGCCCGGCGGCAACTCTACCAAACACTCCAATGCTCTTAAAAGGCAACTGCCCCCTTTGTTTTATCTGAGTGTGCAGAGGTCATGAAGGGAGGAGGCAAAATATGCACCATCATGACAAACACATGATGCACTATAGTGAGTTGGAAGAAAAACTGAGTTTCACTATTTTCAACAACAAAAGAAAGTAAATTTTTTCTGCAAACTTGGTCACCTTACTTGTAAAAAGAACCTGTGAATGATTTAATTTCAGCATAAGTGAGGTATTTCTGTGAGGGCCTTAGAGATTTGTTAGAGAACGTTATTGTGGAAAAACAGATTCATTAAGACCATAGAACACACTAGACAGGTCAGAGAGGGGGGGTGGTAAGATGTTGAGGTTTGTTTGTTCAGCTTTGACTGCTGAATGTTGTATAAAATGTTTTTTTTTAAAAAGCCTGAATGTTGGAACTGTAACTAGTATACGGTCACATGTTAACATTATCACTGCTGCTTACCTGTATCACGGCTGCACTTTAAAAGATGAAAATGTCTTCAGGGATGTACTGAAACAAAATTTCTTTTTGTATACACTATGGGCCGGATTTATCAAGATCCAATTTTGCGTGCAGTAATTTGCGCTCGCAAACTGGAATTTTGCGCGAGGGGCTGAACCATGGTTTGCGGGTGATTTAACAAGAGTGATTGCGTAACTGGTGGCAGGTGCAAAACTGTTGGAGACGCCCTATTTAAATGATGGTTTGGCTCGTTTTGTGGTTTGCGGCAAAGTAGTTTGTAGTTTGTGCAAACTAGTGCATTGAGAAATTCTTACAGTGACCCCCCACCCCCTCCAAAAAAATATATATATAAAAACTTTGGCAACCTTTATTCCCTAAGGTGGTATGTGGCTGAATTTCTACTTCACTGCAGTAAAAAAAAAAAAAAAAAAAAAAAAACAGGTATTTTGTATTGGCCTGTAGAAAAATGCACATACCAAATGGCTCACAAGAAGTGACTGTGGATGAGATGACTGCGCGTACGCATCCCCGCAGCATTGGCATGGTGCTCCACAGGCACAGAGGTCCTGGTTCTCCGGTAGGGCGTCAGGGTGACATGGCATTTAGAACGTCGGACAGCACTTCTGAAAAAAGAGATTGGGAGATCCCAGCTCTCGCTGCAACCGTACGCTGGAATGACCCAGATGCAAAAAAGTGCAATGTTGCAAGGAGTTTTGTGATATCTGGTATTGCGTGGGTCCTCCTTGTGGCTGGCTCCAAATCCATTCGGAGTTCCCCCAACAGCTCCAAAATGGCAATGCTGGATAAACGATATGTTTTGATGATCGTTTCCTCGTTCATTCCAAAAATATTCACACGGAGTGAAAAAATGCGTTCTCTGCGTCTCCTTGCTTTATTTCCATGTCTCCTTCTTGCGACAATAACCGCTGCCATGTGTGCGCAATTACGCATACAGACCATTTGCACCTTCTTTTGAAACGTGTTAAATATAGAGTCAGATACCGTTAGCAAAATTGCTTTCAGGTTTAATAAATCACTTTGCGAGTGCTAAATTAATATATTTACATGTTCTCCTCCCAAAAGACGCACTTTTGCGTGTAAACGCCCCATATTGCATATTCATTGCAGAAAAAGTACTAAATGGATAAGAGGCGCTATTTAGCAAGTTTTAAAGACCAAAACCTTTTAGCACGCTGTTGATAGATCAGTTTGTACATTTTTTAGCGTGTGCAGTGAAATAGCTCACGTTTTTATACACGCAAACCTTTGATAGATCCGGCCCTATTTGTACAAAATGACAATAAAGTCTGTCTAAGCCTTTGTTTAAACAATCATTTAAAAAAATTTTCTAGGAAGGAGAGCATGTATCAGAGAAGCATCTAGAAGGTCCATGTACAACTTTGCAGAAGTTACACAGATCCATGATGCATCCATACAGAGGACACAGCTCCCAAAACATGCTCAGAAGAAGAGACCAAAGTGGAACTTTATTTTTTTATTTTATTTTGGTCTACACGTAAGACCCAGACCAACAGCATGGTGGTGGCAGCATCATACTTAGGGGATGCTATTTTCAGCTGGGGCATGGAAGCTGTCCACAAGTAAAGGGTTGAAGCCAAATACTGGATGATTCTGCAAGAAAACCGGTTGGAGACTGAAAGAGAAAAATATTTTTATTATTAAAAGCTCTTTAAATGCTTTCAGGATTTTTGAAGCGACATGTCAATCTGAACCTTTAAAAAATCAGAGATGTTTAATTTTTCACCTATGGTCTTATAAAGACCTTGTTGAGTCTTTATTTTTCTCCATATGTTGAATAAATAAGATGTCTTGGAGTTAACAGGTTCACAAAATTCACAAATGTATATCTAGTTTCAGTTTTACTACAGTTTGGGTTTTCTTGGTGACAGAATTTATGGGATTCTTTCAACAGCAAAACAGATTTATCTTGTGAGTGCTGAAAACATTGGGAAAAACTTATATATACTGTTAGAATTGTCTCCCTATTATCAGTAAGATTACATCGAAATGAAACAGAAAATGTGCCTAAAACTTTTTTAAACAGACTCATAGCACTAATTATTAGGTTTAAATATAAAACTGTTACATTCTGGACTTTATGGCAAATTATTAATCTTTCATTCATTTTCTAAACATTGCACACATTCATTTCTCTACCTTTTTTGTGACTAAACATTTTCTTTATTAAAACATTGCAAGCTCTTCATGTTATTAGGTTCCCAGTTTTGTTTGACATAAAATTAATCAGTTTTTTTGAAATTTGCCAACATTTATACAAACTGGATACTGTTTTTGAGGGTATTTTTAAATATGCTGAGGAGATATCGGAGATCGGATACTGGAGTTAAAAAAGTGTCACAATGCGAACCTGATTTGACCGGAGTTATCCAGAATAAATTCTCTTTTCATTTTGGGAAACCGTTTTCTTATTTGAAAATTTTTACTAAATCCAAGCAAACCCTAATCCTTGTTTCTACTACTTTTTTTCCTTTCTTAATCTGTGTACTGGTTTTTTTACTCAATCTAGACTGAAGCGTGGGCCATAAATCATTTCATTTTGTTTCCATTTGGAATAATATTCCAGTGAGCACCAAAACACAATGTCTTAATTTGGCAACAAAGAAATATTCTTTTAAATTGGGGAGACCGAGTTTTATATCTCACTCTTGGTTTTCCTCCCTTCCAAACAAACCTAATGCTTTGGTTATCCCATTTAGCAAACTAAGAATCCTATATTCGGACTAGTAAAGCAATTGATAAATATAACAGTTGTGGTAATAAAATAACTTCTATTCTTGAACTGAAATCTAAGATAATATTTAAACATTTATCTAGATCCCTTGCTGTAATTAGCCTGATACAGTGTTCTGAGATCTGTCGTCAAATGAATCCTTGAATATCCTATTTGTTTTAAATCCCAAGTTAATTAAACTTTTTGGGAAAGGGTCTGTTTTTTATAGTGCTTTTTTATTAAGTCAAGAGACTTTATCAAGGTGCTTTACACTACTTTCATTCATTCACCCATTCATGCACATATTGATGATGAGCTACATTAAAGCCACAGCTGCCCTGGGGCTCACTGACAGAGGTGTGGCTGCCATCCACTGGCACCGCCGGGCCTTTTGACCACCATCAGAAGGCAATGGGTTGTGTGCGATAACCACTGTGCCACCAAAGCACCCCCTGAACTATAAAACTTTAGTTTTAGTCGAATGTGCCTCTATACTGATACATTTTCTATGCATGTTTTAATGCACATTTTCAATATTCATGTTTATTTAGTTTTGCTGATCCTGCGACCGTGTCGTTATCTGGCAGGAGCCCCAGTGCTGATCACTGTTACCATTTCTATGCCGTTTTTAGACTAAAGTTTTTAAGTTTAGTTCTGTTTGAGAGTAATCCGTTTAGAGGATGTTTTTTTTGCATGTGACCATTTCTAGGGGTAAAAGAGATGGGAAAAGACACGTTTGATCCCTTTAACACAAAGTTAGAATCCTGAAAGCCACACGATGGCTTGGCAACATGTCTTTAATATATTTTTCAGAGAT